AGGCATGCTTTCTTTCTTATTGAACAATAGAAAGGAGACCTGGCTAGAATGGCATCCATTGGACAGTTACAAGAAAGAAAAAAACATGGCTAACCAAAGAGAAACACAAAAGACGGGACCTGCCAAAGCAGCAAAATCACAGATTCCCATGGCTTTTGGAAAAAAATTTAAAGAAGTCAAAGAAAAACTCTTTGGATGGTTTTAATCTTGTTACATCTGGTGTAAAATTGAAACAGCATTTTCAATAGAAAAACAAAAACATATCATATCAGCTCCTTTAAGACCTTGACAACCTGCTGTATCTGACAGAACACATATTTTCAGCCTTTGCATTACAATCTCAAGATAAATGCTCTGGTGTTAGACCATTACCTGATACACACCAGTTAAAGTCCTCTGAATGCCCTCAAAAAACTAAAAGTTTTGCAGCGGACTAGTCAGAAACACAAATCTGATTTAGTCTTAGGCCTGGATTACCAACCTTGACTAACCTTACTGTGTGCTTTCCGATCTACTCTCCTTGCCTGTGAGTATTGGCAAAAAAGGACACTTGCTGCAAAAGAAGAACTGGGTGAATCGGTGATGCAAAAACACAGCCTCTGACCCGCATGCAAAAATTCTAGTCCTTGACTTAGTCCTCCTGGGTTCAAATCCGGACACTATGACTTTTGCTGCATATCTTCCCTCTCTCCACCATATTTCCTGTTTTTCTACTGTTGAATTAAAGCCACAAGTAGCACAAAACTTAAAAAGAACTTATTTTGGCCCCCTCTATTAGATTCAGAGGCAAGTACTTTGTCACATAGGTTCAAGTCGGTTTAGGTAGCTTTTTTTCCTTAAAGATTACATTTTTGTTTCATTTCTTTCTCCTCAGGTTATCAGTATTTCTTATAAAGATTGTGTCATGATAATAAAAAAAAAACATTGAAATTAGACACAAAGGCAAAAATGGTGGATAACTGTAGGTCATCACGTTTATCAGCTTACATGGTTAGGAACTTTTTGGATATGAGTCCTCTTTTTTTCACAGTTTTGCTTCAATGCTTGTTGCAGTTGTCGTGTGCTGCAGTACCACAGGAAGTTAAAACCCAATCTAACCAGAATCTGTCACCTTCTCCTTTGCAAGAATAATCATGATGCCACATTTTGTGTGAGTAGCTCAAAACTGTTTCTAACGAGACGTTAGAGAAACCTTTCCAGTGATCTAGGTAGAATTGTTTCCGTTATTCAGACAATCCTACTGATTTGAAAAGGTTTTCACATGATGTCATTTGAAAATAACACCGGTTAGTTTAAAATAAAATAGAAATCAGAACTCTAGCTTTAGCAGATTCTGGCTAAAAGTTAGAAAGAAGAGATTTAGCTTTGCATCGAAAGTTAATCTTAAGGGCCATCAAATGTAGAGTAAGAAGAATGAGATAAAGGACGATACAAACAGACATTTTGAAAAACAAAGGTATATAAATCACAGGATTTATAAATGAGCTTACAAGTTTGATATGCCAACTTGTGCTTTAAATTGAAATAGTTAGCTCTAGTTTCACAATAAATGTCCAAAATGACCCATAAAATCTGCATGTATCTGAAACCTGTCTAGGTAGTCTACTGAGCAGCTGTCATCACAGACTATCAATGTTTTTGGTTGCTCATACTGACATATATCCGGTAAGATCAAAGTCTTTGGTTTGACCATAATAACCAAATCACTCTGCATTGGCCCTCGGCTAAGTAAGAGACAACCCCTTGGAGATGAATCAGTAATATATGTCTATAATAAAAACTATGGTCCAGGTCAGATTATAATAAATTCCATGGGATCTTTATAAGTGAGAAATGTACTGAATCTAATTCAACTTTTAAAAGTTCTGTTTCATAGGGGTTCAAGTATCTATGCAGCCAAGTAAACATTCATTATTTTTATTTTATTTTTTTTTGCTGCAACATTGGTGGAGACCTAAACAACCACACTAACACAATAAAAAAGCCTACATCAACAAATCATCAAATTACAACAAAATACTATATAGTTTAACCACTATACAGTATTACAAAAACATAGCTTAATAAGATAAGAGAACATCATGCAATATTCAAATGTATGTCATTTACAAAAAATCATTTCATGTCTGTTTATTGAACCAATTGTTTTAATTGTATCATGATTTTAATTTTCTGTTTTGAAAGATGAAAAATAGTTTTTTGGTATTACTGATTCATTTGCACCAAATTTATAAATGTGTAATTTCTCTCTAAGATGAAACTATTCTATCAATTGGCAACCAAAACAGTCCCCTGAAGTAAGAAAGTTGTTTCAAAGAATTTATTCAAATACAAGTTAACAGTAAATGAAGCTTTCACAAGTCTTAAAATGATTGCATATAATGGATTTATTTTTGTATGTATTCCAACAAATGTTAGAAATTCAACATTATTGAACAAAACATGTGGAAAAATACTGTTTTTGGAAAATTATATCATTATAGAAAATGAGATTTAAAAAATATGGGTGTGGAAATTCAACCATAAATGCAATTCACATCCATAAACTCCTTCTATGGCATTCATCTGATAAAAACTTACAAGCATATCATATAGGCTTCCTTTTTTAGACTTAATAGCCATGTTCACCTTTGTCGTCAGTGAAGTTAGGATCCAATTCACACCTTCTGACTCAGCACTTCAATGAAGGTCTGCATTCCTTATAAAGATTCTGGACTTTGATTAGTTCAGGTTCAAAATAAATAAAAGGAGAAAGACTGGCTTATTTTACAGAAATTACAGACATGGTATATTTCATACTTTGTTAAATCTTCGACCGTATTATACAAGCACACACATTGACATTTACAACATTATTTCATAATTACCTCTGATAGTTTAAAGGTTAAATACTGCAATATATAGACTGGAAGAATCCGTATTGAATTATTCTACACCAAAAGAAAAACAGGTTTTGTGATTTTTGTATGAAAACTATAGTTATAAAAAAACCCTGCAGAATTCAAGTTCAATTAATCCAAGTGCCGCATTTTTTGGAGAAGGAAAATAATTGGCAAATATGGTCTTAATGCCAAAAAAAAGCATATTCTAACTCACTAAATAGACTAAATGTTTTACCAACCATATCATATGATTTTTTTTAAAGTATATAAACTATTCACATTTCATTATTTTAGGAGTTTCATGTATAAATGATAGCATGTTGTTGAAATTGCACAAATTTACTCTATCTTTAGCACCTCAACCCCCCCCCCCCCATTTTTTTTATTTTTCTTTAACAATGTCTTTAATGTTATGGGGGCAGTTATCTTATAATTACTGTATTTGGAGATGAAATACTAAACATATTCATAGACTGTAGGCTAGATGTTTTCATATTACATTCCACGTTTTTCAGTGTAAAACCAGGCCGCAATCAAGGTTGAATGGCAGTAAAACTTGTTTCTTACAGACATACTCATGAGATAAAAAAAAAAATAAGTTTATTTTACTATATCGCACATTTATGTATTTTAATACAGGATATAGGTTTCACTGATAACACATCCCATCCAACATTTGCTAACTCTAATAGAAGAACCTCTGCTTATAGTTTGGCTATCTTTAGTAGTACTCAAAAAAACCTGACCAAATAATAGTATATATGCAGGATTGATTCAATTGTTAAGAAATTATGGAAGGGAGAAGACGGGAGAAAAATGACAAAAATCCCCGTAGAAAAGAAGCTGAACAAGGTGAAGCCCAAACATATCCGGGTGGCAATATAGAATATGTTCAAGTTCGATTTCAAATAAAAAAAACTTTTAGACGATGTTGAATAAAATGTTTTGACTAACCTATAATTACCAATAGGTAATTATAGGTTAATCAAACTAGTAATAAAAGTAGTAATACATTTTTTTTGCATATTGTAACTTCAAATAATGTTGTTGTTTTTTCACCTAGGGGAATTTAATATAAGCATCTGAATGTTTAGCATAGTTATTTTAATTATAAGGCAACCATTTTGGATTTTGAGACCTCAGGTCATTTGGATCTCCAACTCTAGGGGAATTTTGTTATTTATTTATTAGTTTTCAAACTTGCAACTATGTTTCATTAACTTTGTCTCCTGATAATAATACAAATAACAACAATAACAGTCCTACACAGTGATATTTGGACAACCTATCAACAGCAAGTATTATTTGGAAAACAATTTGAGAACTATATCAAATCTAAATCTAAAGAAAGAAAAAAAAAAATCCAAATTATAATGTTTAAATACTCCAAATAAATGACACACATTAAAATTGTGTTACCTTCCACAAAGTTTGGTGTATGGGAAAAAATCACTTTGTAAATAGTTCTTTACATTACCATGTTGATAGAATCCGTTTAATTGAATAAATGGGAGCTCTGGAGGGTAACTCGATCCCTTAGCAGACATGTGTCCTCTGGATCCCAACAGGCTGAGCTGATCGGAGGGAGGAGAGAGAGAGGAAGCAGCAGCAGCATGCGCTAATAACTCTCCAGCAATCGGACCTGACCACCTCCAACACCGCGGCGCTTCTGTCCGTCTCTCCCCCACCGAGCTCCGGAGCTTTAAAGACCAAGCCTAACAAGTATAAACAAAGGAAGAAACCCCGACCCAGCCTGAGCCGAAACGAGCGGGTTGCCTTTCCTCTGCGGTTCAGCGCGCTGATCAGGTCAGTCACCTTCCGCGCGCTCCACAGCCTGCTGCGCCATGCGTTCTATGGCTGCACACCTAAAATAAACACATCTTAAAAAGTCCAATTAAAAATATCTGCTTGTGTTAAAGAACAGCCCATGTTTATTTATCTTTTAAAGCAAACTTCTATTTTTAAAAACCATCTATAGAAATATCGATTCTTTATAATAGGCAACTTATTCTAAGGCTAATTAGACTGAACCGGTGCTGTTGATTGTAAAGGTTGGGCACTTTCTGCAGCGTAACGAACTTCCAAGCGGCGTGCAGGTTGGGGGTGGCCATAGTCAGGGGGGTGCGGTCAAAGCACTGACAACTGGCACACAGTCAGGTGTTGGTCCAGAGTGTATCTCTTGGCCACAGCGTAAGTCTGAGTTTGACATGCAAACACCCGGCCGAGATTTCAACCATCTAAGTGGTCACAGCTACTCCTCAGGTAAGTGCACTTCATAGAAAGTCTGTCTTTTCTGATCGACTTCTGCAAAACTGAGATTTTTTTAGCTTTTTTAACCCCCTTTCAAATTAGGACACATTTGAGTAAAATGCAGATGTATTTCTCACATCCTTATCCTGTGTCCTTATCTCATGTGTCATATGAGGAATTTGTAGAGTGTGCTGAACATTCAGGGACTTCTGCATTTCTAACCTGCCCTGGAAATAATTGTTGTGACTCAGCAATAATGCAATTGGCTGTTTTTTTTTTTTTTTTGTTAGTTTAGTGCTTCACCAGATGTGCTTAAATACTCACATTTTAAAGCAAAACAATCTATCTATCTATCTATCTATCTATCATCTGTCTGTCTGTCTATCTATCTATCTTGCATTTCTCATATGTAAATCTTATATGTAAACATCAGATGTTGCATCACTTGAATGTTTGATCATGGAACACCGCCAACCCAGGTAAAATTAGCCAATTCCTATCTCTGGTAAATGGTACATTTTTACTATATAAGCCTTTTTACTTTATAAGGAGTCTAATTAGTCAGAATACATTGTTGGATAACGTTTTTGTGCCTTATACCAGTAAAAAATAAAAATGAAAGAATATGTACTATACCTATTGTTAAGTTTGACAAATATTGTGCTAATGAATTTCTCATTCTAATGTAGGTAAAAACATTTTTATGCATTTCTGCACTTAAAAGCATGTTTGGTAAGCAGTTGGAATGGTACAGTGTTGTCAGAGCTGACAGTATTTCCTGTGTTGTTTTATTTTGCGGTTTTCTTTTAAACAAGCATAATAAACAGGATACATAAATAAAGACAGAGTTATTACAGATTTATTACATTATTTATTTATTATTATTTCTGAGGAACAGTGTAAATAAAAGCAATAATAAAATACTTTTCAGAGGTATAGAATACCTTGTTTTTTATGGCAGTAACTAATGTATACATAATAGGATTAGGTTTTCACTCATAAACTTATAAAGATCATTATATTTTAGCAAAGTTACTCTCAATCTACCTTCTATTACACAGTCATAACAGGAGTTTATCAGGGGTTACAATGTCATTGCTAATATAAGATTCCTTTGTTGAGGAGAGAAACTCAAGAAAACATTGTGGTTGAAAAATTAGAGAAGTGACATTTGGTTGCTTCCTTAGTTTATTTCATTAAGTTTTCATTTTGCTTAGCTTTCAAATTAGTTTTGAAACAAACAGTTTTGCAAGCCTTTTTTTGTTTTGTTTTTTAGAAATCTATGACGTTTTTCTGTACAAAGTCTAGAAATGCGCCTACAGTACAGATGTGTAAAAAATCACACACAGCTTTAATGATCTCCCCCTTGACCCTTGTCTCGGGTTAACCTGTCGCATAACTTTGCATAAGCATCTTGAAGTCTCATTCTAGGTTGGACACAGGTGCTGAGGCAACACCATGGCCTCAATTATTCACTTATCAAGTTATATCATTCCTTTAACTGGGGAGGCGTGTACGCGTTAGAGGCCACTTATGTGAACGACAAAGAGATTTGGACTTTGTTCTGCAGCCATAAATGAAAGGAGTGCCTCAAGATGCTGTTTTTGTTGTCCATCTGACATGCTTTTTCATCTCTGTAGCTAACATAAGACCTACATTTGCATACAATCTGATAGTACACCATCTTCTCTTGTGGAATATAAAAAAAAAGTGTCCTATATAGTTTTGTTTTATAGGGAGCTACTGCAAAATACTTAAAGGAAGAGAGACAGTCTAAACATCTGTTTCTGCAAAAACATCCAGATAAAAGAGAATAGCTTGCCTCAAATCATCTCAAAGATAATTAACCACTATTAATCTCTCCACTATTCACATCCTGGTGTGTCAAATCCATTGCAGATTCAATAATTTAAAACAATTCCACAAGTTTTGTTACACTTTATCAGAGGGCAGGGTTGCTTTTTAACCTTTTTCACATTAGCGTTGTTAAATAGTTTTTCAAATTGAGTGTAATTATTAACCTCAAGGCCAATCGTTTCAACATTTACTGTCTAAATACAGAAACATTTTGGCCCCAAAATGAGACTTTTATTGACATCAAACCTTCTTTTTGGACACCGAACAGAAACTGAACATTTTAGCTGTTGTTAATCTTTTATGCCTGTATATCATTCTCAGACCACAATATCCTCCTCTGCACATTTGTGCAATCTTAAGAGTCTTTCTGAATCTGTGAATTAACTGTGCTGATTTTAATAAGGTTTGACACTTATTAAATTTGCATGTGCCTTTGATTGTTTTTTTTTTTGTTTGATTCTTTTTTTTATCATTATGAGTTCTCTTGCTTTTAAACGGGAAGATGTACAAAGTAAACTAACCCGTTTAGTTACATCAAAATCTTTTAGTGCAAACATGTTTTTGACACTTTGATTGAGGGGTTGTGTAGGCTGCACGTGCTCGAAGGGTTTTCTTCTCTCTTAACAGGGTCTACTGTACTTCAAAACTCTGCGCTTTGATCACAACACCTGTCTTCTGAGATGTGACTCATGTTCAGGAGAACTTCAAAGCAAATGTTCAGTTTTTATCTTTTTACACTTTGCATTGAATGCTATTTTTTTCCCTTGATAATATTGCTATAGTAGCTTTTTTGCTATCTGACTTGTTGATGATTTTTATTAAAGTTGGAAACTTAGAGCAAGACTCATTAGCCATATGCTTTGTATTCATAATGTAACACCTATAACTCCTGTCCTGGAATAGGCCTTTGACATGTCTACATGAAAGTTAAATTAGAACAAGAATTTTGAATCATTTATTTAATTATATTTTGATCACCCAATAGCATCAGTATAACAGTTTGTAAAGCTGACAGGCTGGTGTCATGGTAGCTGCATTATAGGCTTGTCTTCACCACTTGTTATTTCTAGCAAAGTTTCTAATTTAAAACTACTTTGTTGCAACTAGATAAGGTATTTTCATCAGCTTGCTGTGGTATTGTTACTGTGGTCTCTGACCATGTTAACAACTATATGAGAATAATGATGTCAGATTGAAAGACACAGTAGTATCACTGGGCACTAAACAGAAATTGACTGTCCACAAGATAGGACCTTGCATAATTGTGCTTGAAGACAGGGGTGCATCCAGAAAGGCTACTTACGGTTACCAAATAGGTTCCTCTCATAATATCTGGGGGGCAAAACCAAAAGCAAATGACATAATTTTGATTTGTGATTTCAACGTGGCAAAAGGAGAGATGCATTTAAAAATTGTGATGTTTTAAAATAAACAACATCAGTGTGAATAGATAAATAAATAAATATAATACAAAATGAAACGCATATAAGCCTGTCGTTGACACATATTTTTCATATTAGAAACACAAGCTGAATTTTTGACGGGAAAAAGGCGTGAAAATTTTTTTTAACTAGTTTATTTTAGCGAAAGTCTGGTTGCTTCCAGTTTAAGCCTGTTTTGTGGTTGTCATGAGGCGGATGATTGCGAATTTACACAGGCAACAAAACTATTATTAACTTTTCCCCTTATTGATACCACTTCTTTAAAAAAAAAAAGCTACATGATATTTCTACTGCTCTGAGGTGCTACTGAACATAACTGACATTACAACCACCCACCTTAAAAGTCCAACTTTGACTGAAAAACTGGTCTGACCTGTTTGGGTATAGATGAAAAAAACAAACAGAAAACGAGCATCTGTATAGTTTGGTATCGGGACATTAGCTATAGCTCCGTTGGGGGTTTTTTAGAAGCCGGAGGTTACACAGCATAAACGATCTAAAACTAAGTTAAACATTTTTAAAAGTTAAGTGTATTTACCATTAATATGAGTAGGAAAAAGAGACGATCTGCCAATGGAATGAGTATTTTCACCCTTAAAATAATATAGTTAGATATTATGCAATTAAAATAAGAGACTGCATTTTTTTTTTATAAAAACGTATTCTTACCTGCTCAATTCAAGTAAAGAAATGCACTTATTGTAAGAAAATCTGACTTACTTGAAATTCATTTTTGGAGTGCATTTCTGCTTTTAGAGGTTACAGCAACAAATACATATATTGTTTCTCAAAACTATTTTCATTAATATTTTAGACAAAGTAACCTATTAGTCATATATTTTGGGGTAAAATGAAAATATATGTAAGCATAAAACAGTGCATCCATTTTTTATTGTAATACACAAATATTTGCATTCTATAATAAAGCTTTTATATATATATATATATATATATATATATATATATATATATATATATATATATATATATATATATATATATATATATATATATATATATATATATATATATACATACATCATTAAGTGATGGCAATTTAAATCAACTCAGACCACCTTCATTAGTGCATATTTTAAGTTTGAATGCTTTGTTTTCCATTCCTTTTGGATTATTTGACTCTTTTGGAGTCAAGTAATACCTGACAAGGACATTAATGTATTTTGCCAGAAGCTGAGAACGTCTAAAAACCTGCAGACACCATTTCTTGTTAGGCATCTCTGAAAACTTTGAAACACAGAAAGCAGGGAAACACTCTACCAAGGAAGCATATGTGTTTTTCTTCTCTTCTGAAGCAAGTGTGGGCAAGCTCATGGAATTATTAAAAAAGTGGCCCTGGCATACAACTAATGTTATTTTTTTAGACAAAACAACAATTTATTTGTCTAGACACATCGCAAGTCAGACAGTGAGCTTTAAGGAGCATTTTTTTAAAATCTGTTATTATGTTCAATCTTGTTAAATAGATCTTAATAGAACTATTTTTTGGCCCTGTAGATAGGGCTTTCTCTTGGCCAAGCCTATAGAATGTTGCACAGACAAAAACACTGTTTGTTGATTTACTTGTCAGTTATTTAAATGTCTTAATATATAAATAGTTGCACAAATAGTTGCACAACTCACCCACACAGACACTGAGATATCCGTCCACCAACAAGACCATTCCTCTTGCCAGTGCACTCTAACACACATATT